ATTTTAACACAATAAAATATTCTTTTTTTGTTTCTTGTTTGGGATCTTGAAGTCTACTTTTCCATCAGAATTGTAATCCTTGCTTTCTTGCTGTTACTAATTGCCATATAAATCTTTGTACACCCTTCTATTTTTAGCCTTTTAAATCACTGCATTTTTATACAGCTGTGGGATATTAATACATTTTTATGGTTTTATTTCACCACCAATTCTTTTAACCTTCTCCCCTCTGAGAATCTCCTCTCTGACTTATAAGACTCTTAGGAACTGATCAGAATCAGCTATTAATCTGGCCTGTTTGCAGACAAGTTGACTGAAGTTCAGAGAGCTGATTTCACACAGCTGCACAGGGATATGACTAGAGTCCTGGCTTCCACATAATTTTTCTTTCTCCAGTATTAGAATTCTCTTCCAGGAGTTGCAGCATTCAAAGTCTAGTCTGACCGTTGTCCCAGCTGTAATTATGGGGTAAATGTGTGGTCTGTTGTACCACTGAGTTAGGTGAAAGCGTCAAGTCTGTGTCATGTAGAAGTAGAACGTTTCTGGATGATGTCCATGATGAAAGAGCAGTATAACTTAAAAAGCCTACAGCTGCAGTGAGTGTCTTAAAGCAAGGACTTTAACCATGGGCAATAAAATGGTTATGTTAGCCATAAAAGAGTGGCAAGGGGTTTATAATGTTAACCTTTTATTTTGCCATTGGCTGACATAAAACGAGTTTTTTTTTTTTTTTTAATTAGGATTTCTTTTCAAAAATATAACCAGGAAATGTTACCAAGGAGTAATGTTGGTTTGATTTCTTTCTATGATATTTTGCATTCAACCAATTCTTTAGTTTTTCAGTGTGACTTCAGAATTACTTATAAAAAATAAAATGAAACTAAAGAGTCTTGATCAAAATAAATGCCTTAAATAAGAAGAAGCATCTAATAGTTCTTAAGTAAGAAATAGCATTTAGGAGACAAAGTAAGCTATTGTAGATCCGTTGTCTATGTTTAATTTTGGTATTCAGTTAGATGCACTTCACCTTGTAATACCAAGTGTGTTGGCATCATGGCTTTTTGAATAATTCTATCATAATCATAACTTTTTTAAAAATATTAAGGACTTTTTATATGCTAGGAAGTCTACTAGGTACTACATAAATAATTTGTAGTCATTACGAAAGTGGTCTAAGGTAAGTTGGTAGTACCATTTTGATGACAAGAAAGCTAAAACCCAAAGAAGTAACTTCTTCAAGGTCATGGTTTTTAACAGCTTAACAGGGAAGAATCCCAAATCTCCATGACACTGAAGACAGACCTTTTCTCTCTATCCCATGCTAGCACTATAGGAGGATCAGACTACAGTAGAATTCACAACATGTGGTGCAGAATCTAGACCACAGTCTTAATTACCTGCTCAGTAAGCTGTGTGGTAATTCTTTGGTAACATGTATCCATAAAAGAATATGTTCTTGCTGACTGTGAGGCCACTTGCAGAGAGCCCAGTATTCATTAGTAGTAGACATGGGGCCAGCATTGTGCCGTGAATTAAGCTGCTGCTTGTGACACAGAAATCCCATATCAGAGCACCAGTTCAAGTCCCAGCTACTCTGCTTCCCAGCCAGCTTCCAGCTGATGGCTTGAGAGCCTGGGGCCCTACCACCCATGTAGGAGACTTTGACCTGGCCCAAATCTGATGTGGCCGTGTTGGAGTAAACCAACAGATGGAAGGTCTCCTCCTTTCTTCCTCTACCTCCTTCCCTCTCTGTCTGCCCTCCCTCGCCCCAAACAGCTCTCCCTTTCAAATAAATAAACAAAATAGAATCTTCTTTTAAAAAGAGGCAGAAGCACTGCTGGTATCTATCACTGTTGTCCTTCCAGACCAGGATTCTAGAAAGACAGGTTCAGTCCTCAACAGCAGCGGCTGGGACAGGCCAAAGCCAGGAGCCTGAAACTCCATCCAGTTTTCACATGGGCAGGACCCAAGTACTTGAGACATCATCTGCTGCCTCCCACCCTGCACATGAGCAGGAATCTGGATTGCAAGTAGAGGAGCTGGTACTGGAATCAGGCACTTCAATACAGGATGCTGGTGTCCCAAGCACTGCTTAACCACGGAGCCAACTCCTTTCCCTTAATCTTTTTTGGAGAGAGAGAGAGAGAGATTTCAAGATCTTCCATTTGCTAGCTCACTCCTGAAATGCCTGCAAAGCCCATGGCTGGGCCAGACTAAAGCCAGAAGCCAGATCTTCATCGGGATCTCCTACATGAGTGGCAGGAAGACAAGTACTTGGGCCATCATCTGCTGCCTTCCAGGTACGTTAGCAGGAAGCTGGATCAGAAGCATCGTATAGTGGGGACTTAAACCAGGCACTCTGATATACCATGTGGAATCTCAAGCTGCGACTTAACCACCAGCATTCCAGGCAGACACAGCTTTGTGTCCTGGCTGCTCCACTTCCAATCCAGCTTCCTGCTAATGAGTAAAACCCATTTGAAAGTGACTTACAGGGGCCAGCACTGTGGTGCAGCGGGTTAATGCCCTGGCCTGAAGTGCCAGCATCCCATATGGGTGCCAGTTCTAGTCCTGGCTGCTCCACTTCCGATTCAGCTCTCTGCTATGGCCTGGGAAAGCAGTAGAAGATGACCCAAGTCCTTGGGCCCCTGCACCCACGTGGGAGACCCAGAAGAAGCTCCTGGCTCCTGGCTTTGGATCTGGACAGCTCCAGCTGTTTATGCCATCTGAGGAGTGAACCAGCAGATAGAAGACCTCTCTGTCTCTACCTCTCTGTGTAACTCTGTCTTTCAAATAAATAAAATAAATCTTCAAAAAAAAAAAAAAGTGATTTGTAGACATGTGACCCCTTTCTGTTAAACATACTCCAATATATATTTCTTTTTTTAAAAAAAGATTTATTTATTTGAAAGGCAGAGTTACAGACAGAAGGGGGAGACAGAGAAAGAGAGAGAGAGAGAGAGAGAGAGAGAGAGATCTTCCATCCACTGGTTCAATCCCCAAGTGGCCATAATGGCCAAGGCTGGGCCAGGCTTAAGCCAGGAGTCTAGAACTCCATCTGGGTTTCCCACGTGGGTGCAGGAGCCTAAGCACTTGAGCCATCCTCCACTGCTTTCCCAGGCACATTAGCAGGGAGCTAGATTGATTGTAGAGTAGCAGCGCCCATATGGGATGTCAGCATTGTAGGTACCAGCTTAACCCACAGTGCCGGCTCCAAGTGTAATTTATCTTTAATTAACAGAATATTCCAAACATTATTTTTAAAACCAGGAATTAACATTGTTAAGTATTCGAATGCACAAACTTTTCAAATTTTGAAAAAATTACAATCCAAGTTCCATTCCAGGATTATATGTTACATTTCACTGTCATTTCTCCTCAGTTGCTTAACTTCCTTTGTCTTTAGGACTTGACAGTCTTGAAAAGTACAGGCCGATTATTTTGTAGTGTGTCTCCTCATTTGTGATTGTTTTATTTCCTCTTGATTATGCTTAGATTATGCATTTTTCACAGGTTCTGTCCTCAGTGTTTCAAACAGGAAGCACATGGTACCCTTTTTTCCTATTGTGAGTGATGTTACTTGTTTTGCTTTAAAGATTTTATTTATTTATTTGAAGGAGTTACAGAGAGAGAGAGGGAGAGATTAAGATCTTCCACCCACTGGTTTACTCCCCAAATGGCCAGGGCTGGGCCAAAGCCAGGAACTTCTTTCAGGTCTCCCACATGGGTGCAGGGGCCCATGCACTTGGGCCTCCTTCCACTGCTTTTCCAGGTGCATTAGCAGGGAGCTGGATCGGAAATGGAGCAGCGGAAACTTGAACTGGCATCCATATGGGTTGCCCGTGTTACAGGTGGCAGATAACCCACTTTGCGTTGTCATAGTGGTAATGGTTGGTAATGGTAGACTATTGCAAAGATGCTATTTTTCCATTTTAATTATATTTGTTATAGAGTGATACTTTGATGCTGCTCAAATGTCAAACTCTCATCCACTAATTTTAGCATTTATTGATGATTATTTCCTGAGTCAGTTATTACTGTGGTAGCTGTCAAGTAGTATCCATATTTATCTTTTTTTTTTTTTTTTTTTTTTTTTTGACAGAGTGGACAGTGAGAGAGAGAGACAGAGAGAAAGGTCTTCCTTTGCCGTTGGTTCACCCTCCAATGGCCGCCACGGCCGGCGTGCTGCGGCCGGCACACCGCGCTGATCCGAATCCAGGAGCCAGGTGCTTATCCTGGTCTCCCATGGGGTGCAGAGCCCAAGTACTTGGGCCATCCTCCACTGCACTCCCTGGCCACAGCAGAGAGCTGGCCTGGAAGAGGGGCAACCGGGACAGAATCTAGCACCCCAACCGGGACTAGAACCTGGTGTGCAGGCGCCGCAAGGCGGAGGATTAGCCTAGTGAGCCGCGGTGCCGGCCTCCATATTTATCTTAACTTGGTCTGTTTCTAAGAGAGAGGTGCCGTGAGAAGGCAAACCTAAAGTGATCTGCCATGGCAAGCCTGAATTGATACAGAGCCCAGGCGTGCTGGTGTCCTTTCAGGCACATGTCTGTTACACACCGAGTTGGCAGTGACCAGTAGCATGATATGTTACACCTTCTAATGACTGCATTGTGTGTGTGTGTGTGTGTGTATAAAACAATATGGGCTCTAGTGCTTGGGTTTAAACAAATATAAATATACATACATGCCTTTTTGCTGAAATTATAGCATTTTCCTCAGTTTTTTTCCTCCCAAAAAATGATTATTTCAGTGTTTATCTTTTTAAATCATTCTTTGTGAGGATTCATTTTATGATTTGTATAATACATCAGGTTAATTAGATTTTACACATTTTTTATTTTAAGATTAGATACTCCCCTTACCCTTTTTTGTACGTATTCTTTAGATTGATTGAAGTTATCTCAGTCAACATTTCACATAAACTGAAGTTGAGAAGGAATGCCTTGTTTGAAAGGATTATTTTTTAAATCTTGTTTTGGAATTCTATTTGTTAGGATCCGAGGTGTTGGCACGGCAGCTGTTAATATGTGCCTCGTGGCAACTGGAGGAGCAGATGCGTATTATGAAATGGGAATTCACTGCTGGGATATGGCAGGAGCCGGCATCATTGTCACCGAAGCTGGTGGTGTGCTAATGGATGTAACAGGTAAAATCACAGGGCAGTAAAGCATCGTTTTTTTTTCCACATCTGTTGAGCTTTTCCTTTTGTTTTTAAAATATTTTATTTATTTATTTATTTATTTGAGAGGTAGAGTTACAGACAGAGAAAAATATCTTTCATCCACTGATTCACTCCCCAAATGGCTGCAATGGCCAGAGCTGAGCCGATCTGAAGCCGGGAGCCGGGAGCTGGGAGTCTCCTCTGGGTATCCCACATGGGTGCAGGGGCCCAAGCACTTGGCATCTCCTACTGCTTTCCCAGACCATAGCAGAGAGCTGGATCAGAAGAGAAGCAGCCGAGACTAGAACTGCTACCCATATAGGATGCTGGCACGGCAGGCGGAGGATTAACCTACTGTGCCACAGCGCTGGCCCCTCCATTTTTTGTTTTTTAAAGATTTATTTATTTATTTGAAAGTCAGAGTTACACAGAGAGAGGAGAGGCAAAGAGAGAGAGAAGTCTTCCATCTGCTGGTTCATCCCCAATCAGCCGCAACAGCCAGAGCTGTGCCGATCCGAAGCCAGGAGCCAGGAATCTCTTCCAGGTCTCCCACGCGGGAACAGGGGCCCAAGGACTTGGACCATATTCTGCTCCTTTTCCAGGCCATAGCAGAGAGCTGGATCGGAAGTGGAGCAGCTGGGACTCATACCGGCACCCATGTGGGATGCTGGCACAGCAGGCAGCGACTTTGCCTGCTATGCCACAGTGCCAGTCCCATGACCTGGTAGTTAATAGTGCCTGCAAATTACACTGGAGTGCCTGGATTTGATTTCTCGCTCCAGCCCCATCTTCTTGCTAATGTGTACTCTGGGAAGCAGCAGTGATGGCTCAAGTAATTAGCTTCCTGCCACCCAAGTGGGAGACCTGAATTGAGGTCCTGGCTTCTAGCTTCTGCCTGGCTGTTGTGGGTATTTGGGAAGTGAACCAGCAAATGGGAGATCTCTGACTGCCTTGGTCTCTATTTCTCTCTGCTTCTCAAATAAATCAAATTCTTTAAGAAAAGATGCTTAGAAATTCAGTATGTACAGCCAGGGCTTAAACATTGTAACCATGTGACAGAGTAGATTTTTTTATAAGAGAACTGAAAATATTAAAATGTTAGGATGAGGGTTGGGTGCAACAGTTAAGTCACCACTTGGGACACCCACATTCTATATTGGAGTGCATGGTCTGAGACCAAGATACTCCCAATTTTGAACCAGCTTTCTGCTAATGCTTACCTGTGAGGTGGTAAAAGCTCATTACTAGGGTCCCTGCCACCCAAGAGGGAGATCTGACTTGAGTTCTTGGCTCCTGGCTTCAGCATGGCCCAGCCCAAGTGTTGCTGACAATTGGGGAATGAACCAATGGAGGGAAAACTGTCTCTCTTTTTCTCTGTTCCCCTACCATGACCTCTCCCTCCCAAAATGTTAGGATTGATTCTAGTATATGGATTATTTTTGTGCGGTAATAACCATTTTCCATATTTGATTTGATTTTAGGAGGGCCATTTGATTTGATGTCACGAAGAATAATTGCTGCAAGTACTAGAGCACTAGCAGAAAGGATTGCCAAAGAAATACAGATAGTACCTTTTCAGAGGGATGATGAAGATTAATGACTGCAGCTCACCTTCAGTGACAGCCACTTTTCCCCAGATGCATTGATGCACTGATGGACATCTGTTTCCGATGTAGGATACTGATTTCAATTGTCTTTGATGTCCAGATGAAAAAATTGGAAATTGTTCCATAGACTAAGACTAGGTATGTAAGAATAGCCATAATGTTTGTTTCACTGTTGTAAAAAATTTGCATGTAAGAATGTACTTTACAGGAAGTAAGCTGTTCGCGAGATATGTATTACACCAGCTAAAATGGTCCATTAGAAGGTGTGTGTTTCTAAATATATATAGTCCTCAGGAATATATGACCCTCAGAAGTGTAACCCTCAATCAGAAAGTTACCTTTTTGGAAACAATTTTCTCTTTGGTTCTAAAAGCCATCTTTAAGTTTGTAAGGATATAACAGGGACACCCTAGCCAGACATTTTTTTCTTTGCAGAGAGCCCCATTTTCTTGTATTCATCAGTGTACCCACAGTGCTTCGCACAGTGACTGCCAGACAGTAGACAGTTCAAAAACATGCATTATGAGCATTTTAAGAATGATACATGAAGTCAGGAACGCACCATTTCGTGTGTTTGCTTCAGGTTGTAAAGTTAACATTACGTAGTTTTCCTTTTTTATATTTCACATCACCGTACTGCCAGGTAGCATTGCAGAGTAGACATTTCTGTGATTAATGTTTTCCAAAGCACCTCATCACAGGGTGCTTCCCTTCAGTGTCCACAACCAGGGGCCAGAGGAGAAACTGTTTCCCGAAAGCACTCTTCTCAGTGTCTGTTCTAATCAGATCCAGTCTACCCTGTCTGAAGGAGGCTCACACCGCTGCGGTGGTACTGGCAATGCACTGTGTGGTTAACACTGAACCATTTGGTTTCTTCCCAAACTCCTTAGTTAACTTCACTGCTGCTGTACTGTAGGAAGCCTTTAAGTATTTCTTAATAGCCTTTGGCCTAGAAAATGCAAGAAGAAAATTTTACTGGTTCATAGACATTTCTAAAGCATTAATTTATTGTTTAGCTTTGTCTCTTGGCTTGTGAACAGCTTGTTAAATTCTGTTATACGGTTGTATGAGCCTTGCATTTGATAAGATGAAAAACGCTTCTTTATAGTACTCAAGGTTGGGGGTTATTTTATTGTTGTGTACGCCTAGTACACTAAATATTTATGATACCAAGATTTAGGTATTATAATAATTTCTGTACTTACACTGTTGGTCACTTTTACTTTAAACATCTCATACTGTATTCTAAGACCAGTTGTTTTTGCAATTAAATTTATTTTAATTAAGTCTATCATGAATAAAAGTTTAAATAAAAAGTGTCGTTGGTATCCACATGATTAAATTTATAATTCAGACTTCTGTTGGGGGTTTTGAGTTGAATTACCCATTTGGAACTTGCAGTTGTGATTGCATATATATATTCTGATTTTTTTGCTTGTATTTTGTCCAACTTTTCCAAAGGCGTTAAATTTTTTTTTTCCTATAGGTAGCTTTACATCTTTATTCTAAATGCACTTGGGTGTTTTGTGGCTGAAATTTCTTTAGATATTGAAAAAAGTTGTTTGACAAGTAAATTATCCAAAAATAACTTGAATGTATTTCTTGTAAGTAACGAGACTTCTTAGACTTAGCATATGTTATGCAGCGGGCATGTTATCTTTTTATATGTGTATATACACACAGAGATTTCTACCATAAAATATAAACATTTGAACATCCTTCCCCCCTTTTTAAGCAAAAATAAGCTCTCCCTATTATGTCCTTTTTTTCTGAAGAATCCTTTGGCTTCCTTTGGCCTTATTACTGATTTTGAGAGATGGTTTACAGTGTCTGGGTCAGCACCTTACCTGTGTTATAGGTCATTGTGACTTACTGGCCTGAATTTCAATATTTACTCTCAAGCCTAAAATGTTTCAAGAAAGAAAATAATAATCCCTTAAAATTGTTTTCACTGTGGTCCATAGCAGTATCTTTGCTTTGCCTCATTTATGAGAAGAAAACTTACTTTCTATTATTATGCAACTAACACGTATTAGTTCATTTATTTGAAAGTCAGACTTAGAGAGAGAGAGAGATAGATCAATCTTCTGTCTACCGTTCACTTCCCAAGTGGCTGTAACACCCAGGGCTGAGCCAGGTGAAGCCAGGAGCTTCTTCCAGGTCTCTTATGTGGTGTAAGGGCCCCAAGCACTTGGGCCATCTTCTGCTGCTTTTCCAAAGCTATTAGCAGGGAGCTGGATTAGAAATGGAGCAGCTGGGACGTGACCCAGTGCCCATTTGGCTTGCCAGCATTGCAGCCGGCGGCTTCACCCGCTATGCCACAACATTGGTCCAAAACATTATGAATTTCCGTGTGTTTACCGCAGTCATTTTGTCTGTTAATACTATTTGCTTTTTGTCCTGGAGGTAGATCTTTTGGAGCCCTTTTCCCTTCTGTCTCAACCGGCTGCTCACCAGCGATGCTGCCTGTGCCTCCGGGGCTTCCTTTTGTTTCTTTTCAATTTTTTATTTTTTAATATTTGAAAGCCAGAGTTATAGATATAGAAGGGAGAGAGAGAGGGAGGGAGAGATCTTACATTCAATGGTTCACTGTCCAAATGGCCACAATAGCCGGGGGCTGGGCCAGGCTGAAGCTGGGAGCTAGGAGCTTCATCTGGGCCTCCAGTGTAGGTACAGGGGTTCAAACACTTGGGCCATCTTCCACTGCGTTCCCAGGCCATCAGTAGGGAGCTGGATCAGAAGTGGAGCAGCTGGGACTCAAACAAATGCCTCTGTGGGATGCCAGTGTTGCAGGCTGTGGTTTAAGCCACTGTGTCACAACAGCAGCCCCCATTTTTAGATTTCTAAATGTTATTCTATCCCCTGCATTGTCTCTTTCAGGTTTCTCATTTTTTTGTGTGTGTGCTCTTTCACTGTTTTGAACATCCTGAACTATGTGAGGATCCTTTATTTTTAACATATATTAACATTTGTGGAGTGCAGATAAAACAATGCTTGTATGGAAATATTTAACCTTAAATGCATAACAAGGAAACAAATATAAGGATTGACTGGCTGAACTAAAACTAATTCATATTCTGTGATCATCTACTTGAAAAATCTTTAAGCATCTGCAGTCAAACCATTAGTGTATAATATCCTCTTTTTTTAAGATTTATTTTTATTTATCTGAAAGACAGAGTTATAGACAGAGGTAGATACAGAGAGAGAGAGGTCGTTCATTCTCTGGTTCACTCCCCAAATGGCTGCAATGGCTGGAGCTGAGCCAATCCAAAGCCAGGAACCAGGCACATTAGCAGAGAGCTGGATCAGAAGAGGAGCAGCTGGGACTAGAACAGGCACGCATATGGGATGCTGGCACTTCAGGCCAGGGCTTTAACCCACTGCACCACAACACTGGCCCCAGTGTATAATATCTTTAGTGTCATCATTGAGGATAAAATCAATGTACAAAAATCAACTGTTTTTGTAAGCTAGTAACACATAAGATAACATTTAAATAAGAAAACTACTTACCATAGCATTTTTTAAAAAGATTTATTATTTGAAAGTCAGTGTTACACAGAGGGTGAAGGAGAGGCAGAGAGAGAGGTCTTCTATCCGATGGTTCACTCACCAATTGGTTGCAACAGCTGGAGCTGCACCGATCTGAAGCCAGAATCTTCTACCATGTCTCCCAAACAGGTTCAGGGACCCAAGCACTTGGGCCATCTTCCACTGCTTTCCCAGGCCATAGCAGAGAGCTGGATCGGAAGTGGAGCAGCTGGGACTATAACCAGCACCCATATGGGATGCTGGCACTGTAAGCGGCAGCTTTGCCCACTATGCCACAGCGCTGGCCCCTACAATAGCATTTTTAAAAGCAGAATCAAAATCAGAGGGATAGATGTTTTGTCTAGTGGTTAAGACACTAGTTGGGGCACCCACATCCCATATCAGAGTGCCTGCATTCTACTCTCAGCTCTTTCTCCTGATTCCAGCTTCTTGCTGATGGACACCCTGGGAGGCAGCAGGTGATAGCTCAAAGCCTTGGGGACACGTTACCCACCCACCCACTTGGGATACCTGGATTCTGGCTTCAGTCTTCCTGGGTGTTGCAGGCATTTGGGGAGCAAACAGAAGATGGGCGCTCTCTCTCTGTTCCCCAAAACAAAAACAAAAAAACACAACTCTGGAATTTCAAGGAAAAAAGCCACCAGATGCCTGGAGATTAATATAATGAAAGATTACAAGAGTTCTTCATAGAAAAACTAACATTACTGAGGTCACATTGTGATGCAGCGGGTTAACAGCCCCCTGTGGCACCAGGATCCCAGATGGATCCAGTTCCCATCCAGGCTGCTCCACTTCAGATGCAGCTCTCTGCTAATGTGAGTAGGAAAGCAGCGGAAGATGGCCCAAGTACTTGGACCCCTGCGTCCACATGGGTGACCTCAGTGAAGCTCTGGTTCTTGGTTTAAACCTGGCCCAGCCCCGGCCATTAAAGCCACTTGGAGAGTGAACCAGTTGGTGGAAGAGCTCTCTGTCTCTCCCTCCATCCCTCTAATTCTTCCTTTCAAATTAAAATAAATCTTTAAAAAAAAAAAAACTAACATCACCAACAGAAACATTTACAGATACTAGGCTTGCCGTTCCTAGGGAGTTTGTGCTATCTCAGCAGGAGGCGGCAGGGGGCGCTTGGACACTACTACATGCCAGGCTTGCTTCCCTTCTTAGACTGCGTGCTTAGATGATGGAGATATGGAGGTGGGTGTGTAAGAGAGGATTGGGACAGTGCATGCAGTGACACTATCATTGTTCTGGTCTGGCTGGGTCCCCCCCAGATCCTTCCCTGACCACCCAAGAGTGGGTTTATTCCCTCTCCCGCATATTCTGCATTTCTGCATTCAGACCACCTACCATACTGTGTTGTCATAGCCAACAAAACCCCATGAAGCACCCAAAGTCTTGCAGATTCTTGTCAGAGTCAAAGCAACACATAGCAGACGTGAAGAAACACACAATTTAAGACTTTTCTGCTGTACAGCAGAGATGAATGAAGCATCACGTGACCATGCAAACTTCCTGTTGCACATTGAGACCTTACCAAACCGAGATTTGTGAAGGTCTTCACAAAGTGCAATCCGCACCGTGAGGAAAACTGGTGCCTGCCCATGACTTTGACCTTCACTCATTCTGATGACTCCCGAGTCTTGATCTACACCCCATATTTTCCTTCTGAATCCTCACCCCGAATCTCCAGCATCCTTTCTGGTTGGCCACACCTAAATGACCTCTGCGTCATGAGTCCTCTGTGTCCCAAGCCCAACTGGTTAGTTTGTGGCTCAGAATTTGCTGCTGCTCGGTGGTGTGCACTATCTTCCCACAGCAAGTGAGAGCCTGGTACAGCTGATGTTTACCTTTCCCTCAGCCCTTCCAACCAACAGTAGACACTTGAGGAGTTGTTTTTTTTTTTTTTTCCAAGACGGAGTTAAAGAGAGAGGTAGAGACAGAGAGGTCTTCCATTCGATGGTTCACTCCCCAATTGGCCACAATGGCTGGAGCTGCGCCAATCCGAAGCCAGGAGCCAGGAGCTTCTTCCTGGGCTCCCACATGGGTGCAGGGGCCCAAGGACTTGGGCCATCTTCTGCAAGAGAAGAAACCGGGACTAGAACCGGCACTCATATGGGGTGCCGGCACTTCAGGCCAGGATTTTAACCCACTGCGCCACAGCGCTGGCCCCTACAGCTGAGTTTTCTTTATCACGTGGTCCCACCTGACCTTCTCACTCTTCAGCTAAACAGAAAATTGGCTGCCTCCGAGTGCTTTCGGAGGATAGTCCTTCTGTCCAGAACAGCCTACAGTAACAGTTTTGCATGTTTTTTTCTTTAATGATTGTAAAGATCCCTCTCATCACAGTGATTCTCCCCCAAGACACAGGGCTGTGCCCCCTGTCGCCATGTCTGCAGATGGTGTGCCTTTGCTCCTGCTTAATTCAGGAGAGACGTCAGATCCAAGCACAACATGTGGAGTTTTCTAGAGAACTGGGAAGTTTGAACCCAGTGACAGAGATTGGGAAGGATCAGGGAGAGTTTTGCATGTTATGAGCGGCTTTATGTCAGCACTGGATAAAAAGTAATGTGCGGGGACTGGCGCTGTGGCATAGTAGATCAAGTATCTGCCTGTGTTACCGGCATGCTCTATGGGCACCAGTTCAAGTCCCAGCTGCTCCACTTCAAATCCAGCTCTCTACTGATGGCCTGGGAAACAGGGGAAGATGACCCAAGTCCTTGGGCCCCGGCACCCATGTAAGAGACCCAGAAGAAGCTCCTGGCTC